CAACGTGAATTGCTCAAGAATTCTTTTCTTCTCTCCTCTATTATTTTGCAGAGCTGAAGAAATGAAAACAATGTATAAAGAGTGTCATTCATATGAAAATAGAAATATTTTTTACCACTGACCTTTATTATTATATTTGAAATTATTTTCTAGGGTGGGAAATCTAATTATGAAATCAAGGATATTGTTTAAAAAAAAAATGTTTTTCATTCTTACAATTTTTCTTTTGTGTCACATTCGTCACGAGAAACTCTCATGATGATTAGAATCAGAATTTAAACATGAAGGAGGAATTTAAAAATTTTTTTTCCTAATCTATTAACAGTTACAGGAATCAGGATATATAATATGTTGCATTCTTGATTTGCACAGATGAAATTATTTCTCGTCCGCAAACTATAAATTTTTTGATGATTTCTCATTCAGAAATAAAATATACTTCAATTTTTCTCATAAATTTCTTTTTCACTTTTTTTTTACACTGAAAAAAATTTATTTGAATCAAGTAAACAATTGACTTTGATTCAAGTGAATATTTATTAATATTATTGAAATAAAAATTCTTTGATTCAAGTATACAATCATTTGATTGAAATAAAAATTCTTTGCTTCAGGTAAATAATTATTTGATTGAAATAAAAATTCTTTGATTACAGTAAATTCAATAATAGGCAAATAATCGATTATTTGAACCAAATAAATTTTTTGTCAGTGTAAATAGAAAAAAAAAATTTTTTTTACTTGCTAGAAAGATCATTTTGATATAGAAGTAATCAATTCAGAATCATGTTGACAGGAGAACAAGACATTAATAATAAATTAATGATAAATTACAGTCTATTAATTTTGTATAAACAGATTTTTGATAAATTTTCATGACAGAAAAAAATTATTTTTTTGATTGCAATTCTTGTTTTTTTGTTATACATGATTCCTTGGATTGATTACAACTTTGTAGTTGTACATTAATTACAATTATCTAAAAAAAATTAGAGATAATAAAAATTTGGATTTCAATTGAACGAAAGCAATTTTTTTTGTTCAGTAAAGAAAATCAGTCAAGTATGATATGACAAAAAAGTAATTTTTTTAATCAAGATAATTCATAATTCATTAATTGACTTTTCGAATCTTACGAAGAATTAACCGTTAATTCTATAACAATTTTGATTTTTAATTTTAATTTACTTTTATTTATTTTTTTAAAATGATTTTAATTGATATTTATATTTATTTTTTATTAGGCATTTAAGTATTACTTTATAACAATTTTATTTACATTTTCTTTCAATGATTTTTTTACAAACTTTTTTTTGTATATTTTTTATTGTAACAATTTTTTGTTTATTTTTTTTCATATTTATTTTTTAATATAGAAATTACTATTTTTGTTTTTATTTATTATTGTTATTTATTTATTATTTATTTATTTATCTGCTACAAAAGGTTATTTATTTTTTATGACAAATAAAAAAATAATAAAACTGTATATTTGAAGCAATAATTAACAAATATTTTATCTGTATTATAGTATTAGCATTTTTATACCGTGTAGTGTAATTAAAATTAATAACTCGAAATATTAGTTTTAAACTTATATATCAAGCCAATCACAATATTTGATACTAATTATTTCATTAGGGGGGGTGAACACATGTTTTTTTATACAGCTATCACGTACATTTTGAATGATCCCTTACATTTTGATCACGACTCAAGCTCATTTTCATTTTTATTTACTTTTTATTTTTTCATCAATAAAAAACCGTTGTAATTTTTGAAAGTAATGTCGCAAACATTATCACCAGATATAATGTTTGTTTAAATATAATATAAGTTAATTTAATTCCGGTTTCTAATGACGTCTCAAGAAACAAGGCAAACCAAATAGAATTTTACACACGTTATCTTTTCTTTAAAACTATAATTTTAAATTTTTAATCTTACAATTAGATTTTTCTTTCAATTGAAAATAAATTTGAATTATTCTTTTTTCCTTTAATAAATTATTCTGTTTTTTTCCTTAAAAATTGGAATTTCACATTAATAATTCCAAATAATAATTCGAAAATTATTTTTTTGGCCTAAATATATAATAATTATTGAAATTAATATATGTAACTGGAATTTTGTAAATGATTAAGAATTCTCAAAAATGTTGATCTGTTTCTTGAATTGGAAATGATGAAATTTCTTTTCTTTTTTCTTGAATAAATTAATTTGTGAATAAGAATAAAATTTATTATATATACATAGTGAATCATTTCTCTTTCATTCAATGAGACAAATACACAAACAATTCGAACTATTGGAACAAGAATTTGATACTTTCAAGGCAAGTAACTTTTATTGTTGAATCATTGCAGGATTAATGCAGACAGTATAAAAATATTTTTGCTATTTTTAATACATATATTCAGACACAAAATTTTAGAAATAACATTGGTTGTAACTTTTACATTATTTCCACCGTAAACTGATTCAGAAAAAAAATTTAGCGTATAAAAATGAATGAAAATTAATAATTACTTATTATTATTATTTATTTACTTGATTTACTCATTTAATTAATTATTGCAATCAATTTTTATAAAGAAATATTTTATTTATTTTGTAACTTTTCACAGATTTTAGAAGTAAACTTCTTCTGAAGTAAATTTTAATGTGTAAAAATTATTAAAAACTAAAAATTTGTTTATTAATATTATTTATTTAATAAATTCATTTTTTCAATTATTTATTTGCAGGAAATTTTAATATACAAATATTCTATCCACTGAAATTTACTATTAAATAAAATTTATTAAAATGCATAAAATATAAAATTAATTAAAATTTATAATAATAAAATCTACTATAAAAATATAGTAGAATTTGTCAAAAAAGTATAGAAACATTTAAAATTTTTAACTTTTATGTGTAGTAAAAATTACTATTTCTTTTTCCATGAGAAAAATTGATAAAATAAGTTTTTGAAGTTAAAGAATAAGTTCAATTTAAAATTATTTTTTTTGAAAAACGATAATTAAGAGATAAAAATAAAATTATCTTCTTCCAACTAATGAGATTTAATTAAAATTTAAAATTACAATCAAGTAAACATATATATTGTTAAAAAAAAAATTTTTTTTTCTTTTCTTGAAGATGAAAAATCTTATCGAATTGAATTTCAATTGAACACTTAACTACCTCAACATGTGTACATATATATTCTTTTCATCCGTGCTCTAAAGTAAGTTTGTGATCGGTCGTTCACCTTGAGATCTGAGAGACAGGACTAAGGCCATGGACACGTTTTTTTTGCAATATGAAAACTGCATAATAAACATCATTAAAAAAATTTTGTTTTCAATTTATAATACCATGAAAAAAGTGTTTCCGTATCTTACCACTTTAAATATTCTTATCTTTTGAAAATTTTAAATTCTGCACTGAAGGAAATTTTAATTTTTTTTCCCCAAGTGAAAAAGTTTACCAAAAGAAAAAAAAAAATTTTTTTTAAATTACATTCTGAACAAATATCTCAATTAATAAATATATAAATAAATAAATAGAAATTGAAATTAAAATTATGAAATTAAAATTATTTAAATTGAAATTCATTGAAATGCAAATTATCTGAAATTAATATAAATTGAAATTAAAATTATTGACATTAAAATGAACTAAAATTAAAATTAATTTTATTGAAATTGAAACTAATTGAAATTAAAAATGAAATTAAAATGAGAAAGAGAAACTTCAATTATTTTTTGGTTAAAATTTAGAAAAGTGTAAATATGTCGTTTTTGTATTTTGTAACAAAATAAATAAATTAAATTTGAAACACATGTGTGAAAATATAATGAAATTAAAAATACCTTCAAAATGATTAGTTAATGTCTTTTAACAGGAATTATTGTAATTCACCTGTACAAGGTAGATAACGTTGTTTACATTTTCAAAAGTATTATATAGTATGAAAATACGCACAAAAATTTTTAAGTATCTCGAAAAATAAGAAAATAATTTATTCTATCTAGAGTTGTTATCAACAATTTTCCATCATCGGATTGAAGACAAAAATTTTTAATCTCATTAAAAAAAACGTTTTTATAATTTGTCATTAATACCAAATAAAGGCGCGTAATTTAGGAAAGAAAAAGAATAAAAAAAATGACGAAAGTTATTTTATGCACATAGATAAAATTTTCATAACTACGTATTTTTTTGTAAAGAAAATTTATTTTACTGTTTCTTCACTCATTTAAAAGGAAATTTTCAGTTTTCAAAATAAAATAACAATACGTAAATTTACATATTATTTTTAAATTTTTCATTCATTGAAATATTATTTCCCAGGTAATTACAAAATGTAAACACGGAAAAAGTAGTTAAAAACAGTTTTTCTCGTATTTCCAGTAATGCAGACAAGTGGTACAGAGAGGATATAATTCCGCGCATCATTACTCAGGCGTGTCAACATTACCGGTTCAATATCGAGATCAATAGGTACAAAAAGAAGAAATAAATAAATTGTCTCTTTTTCATGAAAATAAAATTATTCAACCAGAAAAAAAATTTAAAAAAAAAATTTTTTAATGTTTCTTGGTGAAGAAACAAGAAAATTTAGGATGAAACCCAAATTATGAAAAAACAAAAATATTTAGAAGATGCAACGAAAAATTTCAGAAGAAACAACAGAAAATTTTGAAGGGAAAACAATAAATTTGAAAGAACAAAAATATTTAGAAGAAACAACGAAAAATTTAAGAAGAAACAACAAAATTTTGAAGAGAGAACAATAAATTTGAAAGAACAAAAATATTTAGAAGATGCAACGAAAAATTGAAGAAAACACAACAAAAAATTTTAAGAAAATAATAAATTTAAGAAGAAACAAAAAAATTAAAGAAGAAACAAAATATTGAAGAATAAACCGCAAAAAAGGACAACAAAACACTTAAACACTGAAGACAGATCTTTCGCCATATTAAAACTAAAATAAAAAATAAATTTACCTGGACTGAGAAATAATTCGAGGAATTGTAAAAAGTTGCAAAAAAATTGATTCTTGTGACAATTTCGGATTCCAATTATAAAATTAAGATCCAAAGTTTCTTAATTTTTTTTCTTCTTGGAGGAAATTTTTCTATTAGCACTTGAAAATCGTTGTCTATGTCATTTTATTGGTTCTTCTTTTATTTTCATAAAAAAAATGAAAAAAGTTGAAAGAGAAAAAAGAAAAGAAAAACAACGACTATCACTGTTTCTGTTTTTTTTTTTTGCAACACGCTCAGCGTGCGCGACACCAACGGCGGGTAATGCGCGACTGAAGCTATAGACAATTTCGAACTGTACAAACCGCACTCTGGCACAGGTTCTTTTACTACTTATGCTTGAGTCAGTTTATGACGTAGGGGAATACACCTCCGATACGCCGTACAGTATGAATCATTAATAGTGACAAAAATATCTGATGTTTAACCATTTGACGTGAATGTCCTGATAAAAAGAGATGCTATTAGCCTTATTTTTGCAGAATCCAATTTTTTTCTTCATCTTCTTCTTTTATGTAATCTGTAATTTAAAGAAAATCATAGTTTCGTCAGAATAGTATTATTTCTGACTAAGAGAAATAAGAACTAACAAAAATTGACTTGAAATCAGTATAGCTACTGATTAATCTAAAAAATCAGTGTTGCATTCGAAAAGGCAAGAAAATTCAAAAAAAAAGTAGAAGATGAAGTTTTCTTTATTTTGTTTTGCAGTCGAAATTTTCTTTTTATCATTACTGCTAATTTTGTTTTGTTTTGTTTTTTCGATTGCATTGTCTATGAAACAGTTCTTTGACCTTATCGCAGTTAATTACAAATACTTTCGCATAAAATTATGCTCTAATTATGCAAGATAATCTTTTATGGTTTTTAAAAAAGCATTCTGAAAATAAATTTTAGTGAATAATTGCTGTTAATGCATCGCTTAAGTTTACTGAGTACTGTTATACTACTGTTGCACAAAAATAATTTTATTCTTAATAATAAAGTTAATTAATTATAATAATAATTTAAAACTGAGGAAAATTTTTTTTTAAATAAGTAGCCAACCAAGAAAATAATATGTTTTTAAAATATTTTATATGAATTAAACGTAACTTTTATTGATTCAAACTTATTATGTATTAAATCAAAATTATTATGTTTAATTCAAAAATAATATTTGGTTGACTGTATAATAAAGTTGACTGTATAATGTTTGATTATATTGTTTTCTCAGTGTGTTAACTTGAAAGTATCAAATTGCAAGTAATTGATATGTTGTGGTCAAAGTCCGGAGTGCGGGCAATCCGCGGAGTGCCCGGGCACTTCGCAGTGTGCCCAAGCTGTTTTGGGCAAAGTCCGAAATACTGATTTATTTCGGGCTTTGCCCTACGTTTTGGTGGGCAATCTGCGGAGTGCCCAAGCAGCTGCGGGCAATGTTACTTAAATCGTTTTTTATTAATAGAAAATTGTAATTTTTATTGAAATGCAGCTTTTAATTGTCTAAAATGTTGAAAAATGTAATTCTTTATGCTTACACTAAATTGAATTTAAAATTTATTAACTATCTTTTTCAATAAAATACGAAATCATGACATTATAGGCTTGTTTATATTTATTCCTTTGTATTTAGAATCTATATAATTGCAGTGTATTGCTTTTGAAGTATAAAGGATAACGTCATCTCTTTGTCTATTCAATTTATAAATAAAATTGATTTGATTTTTGAAATTGACATAAATCCCAAAAAAAAAATAGTTTCAGTTTGGCATATTGATGGTGCGAGGAGTCACTATTTGCACTACAAGGATTTATCAAATGCAATTGCACAAAAAATGTATAAGTAAGGCTTACAAGTGTAAAAAAATATTGTTATGTGCAATTCCAAATGACATAATGAAAATCCTTGTTTAAATAAATAAATAATATTTTTATTCTAATTTTATTATAATTTTTAAATTTTAAACGCAGAACATTAGTTTGTAGTAATTTTTGAACAATTTTGTACATTGTGAATGTAATAAAATATCTTCGATGCAGAAATTTTATGATATTTTAATTTAATTTAAGCAATAAAAATATTTTTATTTTCAATTATTACGTTTATCAATTAAATTTGGACATTGCCCGCAGCTACTTGGGCACTCCGCAGATTGCCCGCCACAACTTAGGGCAAAGCCCGAAATAAATCAGTATTTCGGACTTTGCCCAAAACAGCTTGGGCACACTGCGAAGTGCCCGGGCACTCCGCAGATTGCCCGCACTCCGGACTTTGACCACAACAGATATAAAAAATAAGGATTAAATCATAAATTAAATTGATCTAAATTTTTGGTACTAATTTGATACTTTCAAGAAACCTTTGTTAATAATTTATTTATTTATTTAAACAATATACAATGATAATAAAAAATAAAAATATAAGTGAACATAGTCAGGGTTGGACCCCAACTATTTTTTAATTAATAACACAAGTCTAAAATTATGTTTAAAAAAAAGTTGTGAACAAAATTCAAAAAATGGTCCAACCCTGACTATGTTCCCCTATTTATTTTAATAATATAAAATATATTTAGGTACTTTTATAGTAAAGAAATATTTTTAACTTTTATACTAACAATATATTTATTTTCATAATAAAAAAATATTTATTTTACAATATCTAAAAAATATTAAGTACTGTTTATATAAGCAGCATTTTTGACAAAAAATTTTTCTAGGGATATCAAATTGAGACAAAAAATGTGCGTTCTTAGTTTACATAGTTGCAAATTTATATCTGGTCGAAAAGAATTGTAAATAGTACATCTAGGCAGGACCATTATATATCACCACGAATACGAAAAATATTTTTTCAAACAACAAGAGATATACCTACTGCAATGAAAAAAAAATTTCTTTCAATGAAATAATCGATTGCTTATTAACTATTATAAAGTAAATATTTACTCGAAATAAATCATTTTTATTTAAATCACAAAAAACTAATTGAGCCAATAATTTTTGTATTTGCAAATACTATTTAGTTGATAAAAATTAAAAAAATAACGATCACTCATAACAAACCAATGTTTATTTGAATCAAAATTATATTTAATACAATTTTTTTTGACAATAGTCTAGTAAATAAATTTAAAAAATAAAAAATTTGTCATCATGTCCCGTGTGGAAATTGGGTATTGGGTCTATAATGGTCATAGCTTGGAATGTAACTTAACCTGGCCCTAGCTTGGTAATAGCTAGAGCTTCTTGTTAGATTATAAGTTATAAATATATTTAAAAATATGTATCAGTAATTGTTTATGTGTAATTTGAAGTAATATTTAAACATCTCATAGCATAAGATTGAGACAATATTGAACTGAAATGTTTACTTTTAACTTTTCATTTGTGAAATTTGACAGATTATCAGTAGAATTCTACTAATTGCTATTATCAGAATTGAGTTACTGATAATTAGTAGAAAGTTACTGATTCGATTAGTAAAATATAAGTTACTGATTCAATCTGTTGTATAAAAATATGACATAGTCAAATTTACTAATTTATCAGTTGAATTTAAAGGTTATGTTGATTTCTCTTTGGCCACCAGTATATTTACAGCATATCCTTAGTTCCGAACCCACACAGCACATGATATTTCCTAAATATTTCCTGAATATTTCACTGAAAGATTGAAATATTTCAGTGCAAAGTTCTAGAAATATTTCTGCAAACAGGAAAATGTCCGCTTATGTGGGAATTTTCTGAAATATTTTAAAACCCATAGGATATAGTAAGCCAAAAACTACTGCGCAGCTCTACAGGCCATAGAAACTGAGTTCGACCAGTGCGCATCATTTCAGTTGAATATTTCCAAAATATTTCAATGAAATGTTTTCTCAACTTTCGCGTCAATATTCCCACATAAGCGGACATTTTCCTGTTTGCAGAAATATTTCTAGAACTTTGCACTGAAATATTTCAATCTTTCAGTGAAATATTCAGGAAATATTTAGGAAATATCATGTGCTGTGTGGGAAGCTTATGAAAGTTAAAATAAATCTTTAAATGTCTTTAGTTTTTCAATGTTGGGCGCATAAGTTGACTAAACATTGCATGAATGTTTACAATTTTCTTTAATTTTTTAAGTTTTTAAAAACTTTTTAAAATTTTCTTTAAACTTCCTCCTTTAAAGAAAAAATTAATTTAAATTTTAAATTAAAAAAAATTTTTACTTCATGCAATGTTCAGTTAACTTTTGCGCCCAACGCATTGAAAAACTGCTGACATTAAAGATTTATTTAAAGTTTCATGAGCTTTGATTTAAGCTTAAGTTAATTAACTCAATTAAAATTTTCATTATTACAATATATTTTTCAAGTTAAATTTTTAAAACCGTTCACGGATTTGTTAACTTCTGTTAAAATCATATTTTGTTGAATGAAACTCAAGTTTCCAACGTTTACGTCGACGAAATAAGATAAAAACTTCAATTTTTAAATAACAATTGACTTTCCCTCCCCGATTGGATTAAAAATCTATGCAGGGTGTAATGAAAAGAACAATTAAGTTCTTTTTATCAGAAATTATTTGCATCTTGATCTTTAAAAAAATTCTTTTCTCATTTTGCGTCAACGAAAATGTTACTGACTTCAGTTTTATTATTTTGAGGCATTTATAATGGAATAGTTCATATGACTTATGATAACAAGAATAACCTGAAGTATCATGCAACGCATCGTACCGAGCGAGCGTGGTTAAGTGTTTAGGTTATCGGTTTACGAATGTTAGGGTCGTGCGTTCAACTCCCAACGTGTGGGGATTTTTTCTCTGTTAGTATATAGGAATTAAGTATTATAAATTACATGATAACAAAAGTAGGTAAAAAAAGATGAAATAATGAATCTCAATAATAATAAATAAGAATAAATAATTTTTTTTTTAAATAGTTAATTAAACTGTTCCTTTTATTGGGCCTAACTAGATTCTCTAGGTAGAACCAGGCTAGAAGAGCGTGACGTTTCAACCTAGGGCCTACAAGGATAAACAAGCTAGGACCAAGTTAATAAAGGGGAAATCTAGGTAGAACCAATAAAGGGCCATTAGAAAATTTCCACACGGGCGGTACTGAACAAAATTTGTTTTATACAAATTAATTATCTGAATGAAATGAATTTTTTAGTTCAGTTTTGCCAAATAATGTTGCAGTAATATTGCTTTAATATTGATATTTTTCTAAGTATTGTTAATTGTTTTTTATTATTTATTATTTATTTACTAATTGTTACGTGCTTATTTATTAATTGTTATTTATTTATATTTAAATAGAACTTTCGTTTATATTTTAGTCCATTTAGTTTAGTAGGTACGACAAAAACGACAGTTATTATTCCGAATCAAATTTAACAAACAGAGTTTATTTATAATATGGAATAAAATATGAAACTAATGTTTTCTTTCTAATTATAATTTGATAAGTTATAAATATATATCACGTAAAAGTGAAGAATCAATATAATCCAGAGTAGTATATATACATTATGCTATTTTGCATGCTAAGTATAAATTCTTTTAAAATATAAATTCTCTCTATATATATATATACAGAAACTGTAGCAAAAATGATACATATAACATCATAAAAAAGTCAATAAATATATGGGAGAAATTTTTTAATTAAAAAAAAATTAATTAATAACTTTTAATTCTAAACCTATATACAAATATTTAAAAGTATATAGGAAAATGGTATTTTATTCAAGAAAATTCTGTTTTTTTAATGGAAAAAATTAAATTAAATTTAACTTTTTTAGGATTTTATAAGGAAAATAATTTAATTGTTACCTAAATTTCAATTATTAGTTTTAACTAATCCTAATCCAAATTAATATATTATCATTTGGCTTTTGAATTAGTCTAAATTTACTATTTTTATAAGTTATAATACATTTTTTACTACCTGTTAGTAAAATTTAACTGATTCAAAGAAAAAATAATATTTATTATTATTTATTATTATTATTAAAATTAAAATTATAAGAGAATTTCAAATTTTTATTTTCTAAAAGAATTTAAAACTTTCTTTAGCTTAAATTTATATTTTCAATTAATTTTGAAATTCAGTACTTTTTGAAAATAATAAACTTAAAAAATAACTTCTTTTTACTAAATTTTCTTTTTACTGAATTTGAAAAGTAATGTTTCAAAAATATATGTAAAACTAAAGAGATAATTTAAAGAAGGAAAATCTTAAACAGATGTTTTTAATTTATATCTTAAAAATAGACATTGTATTGAAAAATGACTTTCAAATTAAGTAAAAATATGCGTGAGAAATTTAAAAAAGAACATAAAAAAGAAATAATTTAAGAAAAAATGAAAATTATTATTTGATAATCGACACACTGTTAACTTAAAAGCATCAAATTTCAACGAATTAGGATAAAAATTGTGGATCAAATAAAAAATTGGTCCAAATTTTTGGTATCAACTTGATACTTTCAGGAGAACTGTGCCTATAACTTAAAATGATTCTCTACTTACAAAAAATGTTTATACGTCTAAAAAAATTAAATATTTGTTAAAATTGAATTAGTTAGAAAGTATTTTATAAATAGAACATACAAAATTTTAAGAACAAATTTTATGTTGAGTATTTTCTTCCAGTTTTTGCTAAAACAGTGTATTTAAGTTTGCTATTGTTTTAGTTCCGACTCAGCGCGTCATACACTAGTAGTAATAGCAGTGGTCCAGTGAGACTTTATACACAAGTCTCACTAATGTCGGTTAGTACTACTTACGGAGAGGCGCGAAATTGTTTATCAAAACGTTGCAGATAATTAATATATCTATAGGTAAATAATTATTGGTGTTAATTATTATTAAAATTATTACTAATTGTTATTAGTTATGATTTATTTATTACTATAACTTACTATTAGTTATTTTTAATATAATTTATAAATTTAAATTGATAAATTATTATAATAATTATTATTAATGGTTTATTAATTATTATATTATAAAAGTTTCATTTATTTAAAATCGTAAATTTCTTGTTTTCAGAAAAAAATCAGAAGGAAATAATTTTATAATACGACACGTTTTCAAGAAAGGCATCTAAGAGAAGTAAAAAGCTTTAGGTTATTTTTATAATTTTTGAAGTAAAAGAACATAAAAAATCAATTACAATTATAAATTATTATTGTTGTTCATGTCTGCATTGCACCTAAAATATAAAATAAAAACTGGTTTTAAATTTACTTAATTAAATGAACTTTTAATCAAGATAAATCTAACACAAACATAACCTATAATTATTTTGCTTTTTAGGTACCGTTCTTGGGAGCTTGTCACATCTTTTATATTTTTTAATATTCCTTCAATAACTTTTACTAATTTTCTAATATTGTATTTATCAAATAATGTAAAATTTCCTATTATTAACATATAATAAAAAATGATGAATCATTATAATAACAACAAAACAGAAACGAATTTAAATTTCTATTAAATATATAATGAATTCAATTTTTTATATTTATTGTCGTAAAAACACTTGTTGAATTCATTATATATGTACGATTCTTGGTATTAGTCTTTCCATAAAACATTTATTTTAATTGAAAAGGCTACGCAAAAGCCTAGAAGTTTTGCATTTTACAAACACAATGGCTCAATCTTGTGTAATTTTTCGTATGTCGAAACTTTTTTTTTTTCAAACGTACTAAAAAATAGAAAATGTAAGAAAAAGGAAATATTTTTGCTATATAATATATCTACGAACAAAATAATTTCAACAATAGAAAAATTCTTCTTTGGAAAATTTATAGACAATTTCTAGAAAATTTTTAGACAATTTTTTTTATATATTTATTTATTTTTTATACAGTAATAAAAAGTCAGTAAGTAAAATATCACACAGTTTGGGTTTTCTTTTTCAGCACGTACATAATTTTCTCTTTTCTTGGTTGACATTCTTAGATATACTGGAAATATGAAATAAATTTTTTATAGGTACACTTAATCGTTTTTCGATTTTTGCTATAACAGTTTATGAATGTCGTGAATCTAAAGAAAAGAAATATATTAAAATCAATGACGACGATTAGTGTAGACTGTACAGATTTTTATATATACAAACTGTAACAATTAGTTCACGCCTCGAGAGCAATTGGTTCTTCGAATTTTCCTTCCTTCTTCTTTTTGGCAGAGTCTAAAAAAAGTGTTTATATAAAATTGTTAATATCATTTATTTTTAATAATTTTATTATTTACAAACAAAATGTCAAATTTAATTTAATTTCTAAATCAACTAAGGCCATGTGGGAAAAGACCCAAAAAAAGTCATTTCTCGTTTTTCTTTTTCCCTTACCCGAAACCTTTGTTTTAAATAAAAATTTACGGAAGGAGGAGAGTCGATAAGGCCTGTTTTTGGCCCCCTTGAAATTTCCATTTAAATGCTTGAAATACATTTTCCACCAAAGAAAAATGATAATTTTGATGATTGAAGGTTAAATGAGGGTGTTTGGAGCATATTAACCCCTAAATAATAAGGGTTTTGTATAAAAAATGGATCAAAATATAATAAGGGTAAAAAGAATTTTCAATTATGGTTCAATTGGCTTGAAAAGCGTTACTCGGAGGTTTTTAGGGTCGCTGATTACGAATCTGATGTTAGTTTTTAAAAATTCAAAATAGCGGATCCAATATGGCGGTCAAAATTTAAAAATCACTTGAATTTACTTGAAACTTGTTACTCGAGAGTTTTTATGGTCGCTGATTACGAATCTGGCATCAGGTCTTCAAAATTTAAAATGGCGGATCCAATATGGCGGACAAAAGTTAAAAGTTGTTGCATTCGAGCAAAAAATCGCTAAAAGTCTCTAAAATCTAAAAATTTGACGCTAATTTTTGATAAATAAAATTAAAATTACATTATAAAACTAAGATGACCACTTAAAAAAGTCTCATAAAAATGATTTCCTTTGTATCGTCTAACTTTTGAGTTGATAAATCGCGAGAGGGAATTTTTAGAAAAATTCATAAAAAAGAAAACATGGCTTTAAAGAAAAATTACGAATAAATTTTAAATTGCAAATAACCTTTTTCTATCGTTGGCAATTCTTCAGGTACATCTGGTAATTGCACTTCTTCAGGCGTCACAATAATCTTAGGAGCCTCAGGCGTCTCAGGAATTGTTTCCTTTGCATCTAATTTCAATAATTCGTCAAGTTCAGCTTCGGCCTCAGCTTCGTCTTCATCAGTCAATGTTCCCATTAAAATTTCATTTATTTCATTTTGCTTCTCGACACCTTCTCGTGTCTCATCCATAACTTTTTCAATATCTTCGATCGACAGGACATCATTCAATTTTTTTAGTGCTGTATTTCCCACTTTTAATCCATCGATTACTTTAATTTCAACTTGAGCAAATTCCAAATCGTGTACCAATCTTTCTAAATTATCCAATTGACCGTCAGTTTTCGAGAGTATTTGCTCTTCAAATTTCTTTTTACGTAACAGCAGTAATGCTCGACTGGTAAATATAATTTTTTAAATCAATTTTTGTTATCTCAATAAGATAAAAAGAAATTAAATAATATCTATTTTCTTTATTGATCTTATATCTTATTCCTAAATTTTTGTATTCAATTAAAAATCCATTAAACAAAACACAGTTCTAGACACTTTTTGATGTAAATTTAATTACAAAGTTTTAGTTTTATTTTTAAATTTATTTTAAAATAAAAATTGTATTTTTATTTCTTTTTTTAGATTAAAAAGTGTATTTTTATTTTTTTTAGATTAAAATTAATTAATTTCAATCTTAAATATCTACTATAACAATATGTATTTTCCTCTGTTTAATGGATTTTTAAAATTTTGTTTTCATTAGTTTACTTTCAAATTAGTTTTTAAATTTTAAACAGATTTTTAATTTATTAAATAAAATTTTTATAAGGGAGAGAGAATAGGTATATATTAAATTTTGTAAAAATATTTTCCAATTTGTGGAAAAACTGCAACAAAGCAAAACTTTGATATAAAAAGAAACTAAACTTTAAAAAAACTTTTGTGAAATTTAGTAAAGTTACATTAAGATTTAATTAATATTCTTGATATTTGATAAAATTATACTACACATAAGTTTTTTTAAAGTTTAGAATTTTTTATATAAAAATTTCACTTTGTAGCATTTTTTTCAAATTGTAGAACATTTTAAACAAAATTTAGGGGATCGTGGGGGAATTGGAGCCCCTTAAGGAAAATTATTAAAAAAAACCAATTTATCTTTATAATAATACATTGTTTTCGTCATTTTCTACTCATTTCTATATTCATCTTTAATTATGTTTAATTAGAAACTTAAAAAGAGAAAATAAATTGCAAAAAAAAAAATACATTTTTTGCCATTACCCAATTTGTGGGGTATTCGGAGCTTTCACTTGAAATTTAAAAATTTTTTATTTTTTAGGAATATTTTTTGTTTTCTAATAGAAAAAAGTGTTAATACTTACAATGAAGCCAAAACTTAAGACTTAGAATAAATTTTTTCCTAAATTATAATTATAATAAATAACGAAAGCCGTAACATAGTAAAGAAAAGCGAATTTGAAGGCTTTTAAGTACGTGAAATTTAAAAGCTCCCATTACCCCACGCTCCCCTAATATATATATTCTCTCTCAGTATAATGTTTAATTATTTTCGTTATTATCAATAACTGTATTTTATTATAAATATTATTATTAATATTTACAATAATGTACACAGAGAAGAAAATTTTTTTTATTTCAAAACTATGTAGCAATCAAAAAAATATGTTTAAACTAAATATATTTTATAAATAAATTAAATTAAATTTTTATTGAATTTAAAATAATCATGTTTAATTCAAAAATAATTTTTGATTGACTGTATATCAAAGATAATCAAAGCATCAAATAATGCTTTTGTTAAATTAGTACTAAGTTTGATATGTTTATGATTGTTGTTTGCTTATTTTCATTATATACGTTTTTTTTAATATTGTATAAATTGTATTGATTATACAAAACAATATTATAATGTATCTGTTCCTTGAAGGGCTTTTTAGCCCTAGGAACTTTAAATATTTTAAAATAAATAATGTTTGATTCAAAAATATTGTTTTAGAATATATTAATAATATTTTAAATTATTAATCATTATATACTAATATAATATTACTTATTTATTTACTTTTAATTTAGTTTTTAAATTTAATTGAAACGTGAATTTCGAAAATGTAGGATAAGGACGTTTCATTTCAACCATAAGAGTCATTTTTGCTATCCAATGTTATGCGAAAATGACACTTTCGACTTTAAGAGTTGAGCCCTCTTCGAAATACAAGATTCAATTTATTAGATTAAAAAATAAACTAAAAATTAATTTAACTTATTAACTTTAATATCAAAAAGTTAATTTAATTTAATTAAGTTTATTGAATTAAATATTAAAAATTAAATAAAAAATCAGTAAAATTATAATTTTGAGTGAAATTCTGAAGGACAAAAACTCCTTGCTACTATTTTTGTTAAATTCGATGACTTCAAAATAATAAATCTATATAGAAAACTATAATGGCAAATTCATTGTTTTAACACTAATTATTTATTAATATACTAATTGCCAAATATTAATTAATAATTAAAATCTAATAAAAGTACTTACTCCTTTTGTCCTTTCTCTAATAATTTTTTAGCAATTTGCCTCTCCTTTTCAATACCTTGTTCAATTCTTCTCTGATACTGTTTAATCTTATCTCTTGTTTGTTTCAATTGCTAAAAGTGATTAAAAAACAAATAATTATAAATTAATTTTTAAGGTTAGAAAGAAAAATATAATGAATAAGTACTTACTAAAACGGCCTTATCCTGCTCCGTGACACGACTCACATTTTTCTTCTTTGAAAAAAATATTCCCATTTTTAATCGAAAAAATGGTTATAAAACACTGTTTTTTATTTAATTTTGTTAATGATGGGAATGTAAAATTAAAAATTATTTTGACAGCAGAAACACCTGACGCAATAAGGCATAGACGCCATTTTTATGAGTATACTGTCTGCGAGAATTTCGTTGGAGACAGTTATTGATATTTCCTTGCTTTATTTGGTTACCAGGAATTGATATCTTTTTCAGTTACCATACGATTCGAGTTGTTCATGTAGTACAGACGCTTGCCGATGACAATAGTCTGGCACCACTAGCGACCGGTTTTAAAGCTATCAAAACAACATCAATAAGACGTGAGTATACACTTATATTTTATAATTACTTGCTTTTAATTATCTTTTTAGAAATTGGCAAATATAAATAAGGGGTTCTTGTTTAATTTGGTTTTATTTTTCTTTATACAGTTTGAAGAAAAGTAGTTTGCACATTTTGGTTTTTGACACTGTCGAGAAATGTAAAAGTGCACAAGTGACATTTATACTTTTAGGTTGTGTTTCCCGTGGATAATTCAATGGAAAGTAAACCTAATAGTAAAATTTCATTTGGACTTTTACTTTACACGGTGGTAATTAAATTTGTAAGTTTAGGAAAATTTGACTACAAACAGTTTTCTGAGTTTCTTAAGGGAATGTCAAAGTTGATTCGATTTTCTCATTGAAGCTTAATGTAAAAATCTAATCGACTTTCACACCTCTTTAAATAGAGATCATAGAGTTTATAATTCTGCAACCCATATTAGCCAACACAAAGACAAAAAGTACTCATAATACAATAATTTTACTCTGTACAAGTGGAAAACCTGGAAAAGACACAAATGTATGAAAATACATTAGAAAATACAATACAGAATTCAATTTTCAAGATTTAATATCATAATCAATAACATCCAAAATTAAACAGCGTATAGAATTAATAATTTAATTGAATTAAATATTTTACAATATTCCTATCTGTAGAGATTTTTTTCGTAGAATTATAATTGTAGAATTTTCTTGTGTATAGAATTTTTAAAAAATCTATTTATTAAAATTTGTTTTTTGCGGTAGAATTATCTGGTATTGAATTTAACTGCGTAGAGTTATTAATTTACAAAAAATATTTATTATGCACGTAGAATTAAATTTTGTAGAATTTATCGGTGTATAGTATTTAATCATGACGAATTAAAAAGAATTATTTAAATTATATTTTACTTTTAATTATAATGCGTGGAGTTTTATGGCGTAGAATTAATTTGTATGTAAAATTATTAATATACTTGTCTAAATATAATGTGAGAGTTTTCTCGTGTAGAGTTTACTGTGTTGAATTTTTTTTTGTAGAATTTAATTGTGTAGAATCGCTACCACCTCTATATTTTTTATCAAAATAATTTAAATACGAAATTATAGCCCGCAACGTTTTTAAAAACAGAAAGGAAAAATGTGATTAGACAATTATTAAATATATTTATATTTAAATCTAACTAAAAGATAGATAAATGTAAATTATATGGAACTATTTTATTAAGAATAATTAATATATAGAATTATTTTGGCTCCAAATTTAAGTATAACTCGTGGTCAATTATTCCTTATGAAATTCTTAATTATAAATGGTATAATTATATAAAAATTTGTAAATATCGAAATTTAAGATAAATTGTAAAAAATTATTCTTGTTTAAATTTTTCTTTTTAAAAAACGTAGACTTTCGTTTCCTATCATATCAGCGAAGAATATTTTCAGAAAAATGTGTTGATTCGACATAAATATATTCAGACTGAATTCCAATAATAAAAATGTTGATTTGACAAAAAAAATAAAACACCTGTTAATAGTATTAATTCATTTGATATAGAAAATTAGTGGAATAAAATCCATAAAAGTTTTTCTTTGATCTTATTAATAATTTAGAGAATATAACAAATTATTATTAATTGTTTTGGTCAAACGATTAATTTAATTAAAAATCTTTACAAAAACTGACGTTATTTTCTCAATGTTGAGCAAAATTAATCTATATTTAGAAATATTCTGAGGATGGTTCTTATAACTTGTTCCGAAATGTCAGTTTTTGTAAAGATTTTTAATTAAATTGATCGTTTGACCAAAACAATTAATAATATTTTATTACTTTCTCTAAATTCATTTGATATGTTTTAAATTTGCTATTAGCTTCAATTATCTTTTTACTATTGTAGTCTAAAAAAGAAACTTTCATCACTTTTATCATTCCTTCTTTATTAACATTATGTGAATTATTACAAAGTACAAAGGTTATCGAATTTTAATGATGAATTTAACGTTTTAGTGACAATCTTAAAGGTCATGATTAATGAAGGTATAATTATTTTTTGCTTCCATAAACAATTAATATCGTTAGAAACTATTCTGTGAACAATTATTTTAAACTTAAATGAGAAAAAAAAATATTAGATAATAGTGTAAAGGTGTTATTATAAAAAATGGATAAATATTAAAATTTAATTATATAATTATACTGTTGGGTTTATAGTAATTAGAAACTGTATTGCAAAATAATTAGGTACATAATATATTGCTAATGTTAAATTGAACACATTTATAATAGTAATAAAATATAAAATAAATACTAGCAAACAGTGTTATTTTGTAAAGTATTTGTTACATAAGTGTTGAGAAAAAGGCTAGAGTTATAAAGTAAAATTTGATGGAACCAGTATGGTGACTGATTTTAAAAAATTTCCAAGAACTAGTCTTCAAAAACGCGTTTACTTTAATCAATTCTTTATTGGTCCAAATTCATGTTTCTTTGTCTACAAGAATACTGTATCTTTATTTGAAAAAATTGTTATTAAGTCTTAAGAATTGTACCTAGGCTCCAGAATTTGTTTTAACATCTCAAGAATTGTTCCTTATTTACAAAAATTGATGATAAGCTTTGAGATCTACTCTTTGATTTCAAAAATTGTCTTTTCGTCTCAAGAATTTTTCCCCAGTTGCAAAAATTATTTAAAAATTTTTTCTTATTAGGTTTTAAAAAGTAATCCTTGGTTCCAGAAACTGTTTTAATGACCCAAGAAATGTTCCTTAGTCTAAAAAATTTATTTTATATCCCAGGAATTGTTCCTCAATCTGAAAAATTGTATTAGAGTCTTAACAATTGTTCCTCATTCTTGAAAATTTGTAATAAGTTTTAAGATCTGCTCTTCGGTTTCAACTAATATTTTCATGTCTCAAGAATCGTTCTGCAGTTGCAGAAAATTTTTTTTATATACTTAAAACGGTTCCTTAGAACCAAAAATAATTTCTACTTTCTAAAAATTGTTTTTAAACCAACCAAAATTATTATAAGGCTTTAAAATGTAACACTTGGTTCCAGTAATTGTTTTATTACTGTCAAGAAATTGTTTGTCAGTCTTAAAAATTGTTTTTATGTGCCAAGTATTGTTCCTTGGACTCAAAACTGTTTGTTAAGTGTTAAGAACTTTTTCGAATTTCCAAAAGTAGTTTTTACGCTTTTCAAAAATTGTTTAAAAATTTTTCCATGCCTACTAAAATTGTTTTTAATTTCTAAGATCCATTTGTTGGTTCCAAAACTTGTTTTTATGTCCAATGTGCTGTTCCAATTCCTACAAAATTTTTATTTAATTTCAATAACTGTTCCTAAATCAAAAAATACTTTTGCCTTCCAATAATTGTTTTCATCTCTACAATAATTTTTAATTTCAAAAAACTATTACTGCGCATAAAAAATTCAAATAAGCCAAAAGTTCTGGAACTGCAGAACAGTTTTCGGAACTAAGAAACATTTCTCGGTAAAAAATAAAAAAAGTGTCAAAGAAATCTAAAAATATTTATAAGTGTTAAAAATTTTAACACCTTTCACTAAGCATGATACACTTATTTTAAAAGTACAAAATTTAAATGCAGTGTAATATTTTTATAATTAAAAATAAAAAAATTAATTCTTTTTTTGAAAGCAAAAAATTCTATTGAATAAGAAAATCATTGAAACGAACTATAATTGTAAGCTTCAAAAGCCACTGAGAATATCATTTATATTGTTAAATACAAGGACAATATTTCTAGGTTTCAATGATATGTCCCTCACAATTATTGTCTATGTATTGCAATTATTTTGCACTCAACGATCGTAAATTGCAAATTCTTGTTGGAAGAGGTGAGGCAAAGAGAGTGTAATTCACAGTGCACACATTGAATGGAGGAACTAATACGTGGGGCACTCTATTTTGCAATACACTCTTCAAATGTACAATTTAATACTCTGTATAGCAGTCGATTCACGTCAAGCGTTAGTGCCGCATCTAACATTCAAGAAAATTCTATCAATTTTATATTAATTTTCGTTTAAATAAATACTCAATTTTTCACAAATATTACAGTGTAAAGTAGAAAATAATTTTTTTTCTCCACTACTTTATAAAATTGATAAATTCTAATTAATTTCTTTTCGATAAAAATATGTCGACATACAAGTTGTACTATTTTAATATAACCGGCTTAGGCGAGCCGGTTAGATTTGTTCTCAGTTATGGAGGAGTTAAGTTTGAAGATATTCGTCTTTCCTTTGATGACTGGCCGAAGAAAAAATCTGGTAAATTCCAATTTTTAATTTTATTTTTCCAAATTTCATTTCTTTTTGTACATTCAGAATTTGTTTTTGTTATAAAGAAATTGAAATGTAAAATCATTAAAATACTTCACTGCGAATGGAAAAATAATTGTAATCATTAATCACTTTGTTTTGAACACAAACATCAATTCTTGAAATCGATGAGAAAAGTTTCCAAATTCCTAAAAATTACCAGTTATTCTTTCATATATAATTATTATAATTATATTATTAATTATTAATTAAATTAAAATTATAAATATTATATTTTCATTTTACCTTAATAATAATTAATTACTTTTATTTTTTTTACTTTGAAAATTGTTCTTGTGTTTTATTAGGTATTATTTATTTATTAATAAACATTTATAAATACATTTATTAATAATAATATTCATAGGTACATTTATTAATAAATTTTCATATATTTGTTAACATTAAGATTTGTTAATAAATATTTATAGAAAAATATAATAATAAAAATTTACAAAAAATTTGAAAATAGGAAAAATATATAGTGTATTTCTTTATTGTATTTATTTATTAATGTAAGTAAATACCTACTTATAAATAATTAAATATATTTAGTTTACTCAGTTTACTGGATATTATTTTAGAAATAATAACAAAAACATCTTCACTTTTATTTTAAACTAAACAGTTTATTAATAGTAAAATAAAATAATAAGACAAAATAGTAATTTTTAAGTTTCGTACGCTTATACAAGCCTTTTCACTCATACGAGTCCAAGTCCCAAAACTTTTCTGCTTTTCAATTTCACTCAACTTGAATTTTCACGCATATCCCTTCTTTTTCCTACTTAAACTTTCGTCACATGCGCATTTCATTAAATAGAAATTAAATATAATTTTGAATTGCTAACAAGTTATAATTATAAATTATTTTCACAATAATACATATTTTTGTTCGACTAAGATAAAAATTTATTTATAGAGAAATTACTACAAAGTTAAGAAAAAGCGATTAAAGAGAGAGAGAGAAAAAAAAATTCCATTTTTCCTCCCATTTATGTAAGCTGGGAGTCTAGATAGCAAATATTGTATAACAAACTAACTGGATGATAAAGCATTTATTATTATTTTAAAAACTTCCATTGTAATTTGTTATTACTTGCTTGTTTTATTAATAACAAAAGATTTATCTGCGACCTTTGCTATTTAGAAATAAAATTCTATTCCTTTAAAGTCCATCTTTTATTGTTTAAAAAAAAGTCTTCTTTGTTTTTTTTATTTCGTTTCTTTATAAAGTATACATGATTTTATATATATTGTATTCCTCATTTAGAAATGCCCATGGGCCAAATGCCAGTTTTGGAGATTGATGGCAAAAAATACAATCAATCCAAATCCATTTGTCGTTATTTGGCGAAAAAGTTCAATCTCTACGGTTCCAATGACCTTGAAGCCCTGGAGATTGATGCAGCAGCTGATGACATTGATGACATGAGAATTTGTAAGTATCACTTCCGTATTATTAAGGAAGAATTTTTTATTTTTCCTTCCGAAATCACTTCCGTTTATTTCGATAAAATTTCGTTCAATTCTCGATGGATTTTCGAGGTGAAACAATATTCGAAATATACAAGTGATTCTTTCTTTCGAAAGGAAATTTTTCTCTTTGAATTATAATTTATCATATAGCTCTATTCTCGAATGTCAATAAAAAATAATATTAGCAAATAAAAAATAATATATCAATTAAAAAAAAATATTCTGATATTATGATATGAAATTATTACGGGAACATAGTTAAGGTTGGACCAACTTTTGAACTGTGTTAGTAACTTTGTTTAACCCTTTCGTGCTTCGAAAAAATTTTGTGGATGATTTTTTTGAAAATTATGTTATTTGGGAGATTTTGGGATCGCTGATTACGATTCTGAAATCAGATTTTAAAAATTCAAAATGGCGGACCCAATATGGCGGAATTCACAATTTTTTCCTATTTAGATTAATAATATAATATTATATTGTAATAGTAATATTATTTACATATTCTAATTTGTTTTAAAATTGTATTTTGATTTTTCCCACCCAAAAGACAAAAATACATCTCTACGATTTATCTTCATCTATGCGACTTATCTGACAATCATAGGGAAAATATTTCTATATTAAGGTTTCAGTGACTTCCGCTTTCTTTTGAAGAGCAAAAAAAATTGCTCTTTCTCTCTTTCTATTTGCGTATATATATTTATATGTATATAACTTTTCCGGGGATGAAATAACGTATGTATACGCAAAACTTTCCTTCTCTATCCCTGTCATCGCTATTTATATCACTACGAATAAATCCAATTCCCTAGTGCGAGAATAAAATGAGTTTAAGGGTGTCTCAAGTGCTTATGATATTTTCTTAAATGTCCACTTCCTGGAATTCCTTCCCCATACGCCCACTCATTTTTGCGTAGAAAAATAATATTTTATTTGATGACAATTAATTTTTGTCGAACTGTAGGTATTATATGTAGCAGGAAAAAAAATAAAAAGCAAAACAAACAATTTATTATGAAAGTCAGGAGCGGTGATTCTTCTGGTTTCGTTTGGAGAGTGGAAGGTGCACCTGTCTTTGTTTAAGTAAAAAAAAACATAGTTTTCTGTTTCATTTGACATTTTTTTTCATTCTTTTTGTTTCCCTTTTTCTTTCTTTGAGTCAATGATTAAAAGAAGTCCTTTAGTTTTGAAAGTGAATTTATGTAACTTATTGAGAAAGAAAAAAAATTTGTTCTTATCGTTTTGAAAGTAGGTATTTAGAAAACGATTTTAAGTGAGGTTTCAAATTTCAAATATTAAACAAAGAAAATATTTTGTACAGAATAAATCTGATGCACCTGTATATACCTCTGCTACATCTGAATTTTTTCCCACCTAATTGAGTCAGTAATGAAAAGTTACTATTAAATAAGTAAATCCACAATACAAGAGGTTCATCTTCTTATTCTTATGTGTTTAAAGAAGCGCAGCTGAATTACTTTTCAAAAATTACTTAGAATCGAGAGTTTCGAAAAAAATACGAAAGGTTCATCTAGTTGTTTTTCTACTTAATTAGGCGCATCTGAATTAATCTTAAAAGATTCTAAAGAATTAAGAGGTTCGAATGCCAATATAAGAGGTTCTTGTTTTTATTCTCAAACAGGCGAACCTGAATTAATTTTAAAACGTTACGAAGAAACGAGAGGTTCATCTCCCAAATACGTAGTTTACTCTCTTTCCAAAGATGTCACCTGCAAATAATCTAACTTTCAAATTTCATTATAACCTATCAAATTCAAATTGCTTCTAAAAATAAAAAATAATTTTGTTAACATATTTTCAGCCTTATCTCAATTTTACTGGGAAAAGGATCCAAAGTTCAAGGCAGCCTTGAAGGAAAAAGCCATGGAAAAATATGAGGGCTGCATGAAATTATTTGAAGAAAAAGTTAAGAAAAATGGAGGATTCTTCATCGGTGGGAAGGTAAATTTTTTCTCTTTCAAGATTTTAAAAATCCAGCCACCTTATTTCTTCGATTTACTAACTAAATCTAATTATTACTAATTAATATTCTGTTTTATTAATAAAACAGAAAAAATTATTAATTAATACAATGTATTAATATCAATAGGTAAATCCTTATAATTATATTTTCATTATCAGTAATTGAAATTGTGTTTGAAAAAATATATCGGCTAAAAATAATTGTTAATTCTAACAGGTGGTGGTTGACGTAGGCTAAATTAATTTTTCCATTCTGAAAATATTCCAACATAGATATGTTGGAAATTTTATGTTGGAAATCTGTTTAGTTATTCTTAGTGGGAGAATTTAATTTATAACACTAAATAAATCTACTTTATATTCATTAGATGTCATGGGCTGATCTACTCTACTGTGCATTCTGCGGTTATTTGTCCGTTGTTCTTGGCCACGACGTAAATAAGAATTATCCAGCAATGCAAAAATTAAGGCAAACCGTAGAAAATCATCCAGCAATCAAGGCTTATCTTGAAAAACGCCCTAAAACCGATTTTTAACCATTTCAACACTTTTTCAGAGTACTTATATATTCAATACAAACATAATTTCAAAATAAAATCTTCCTTATTTCTAGATGCGACTACTTTTGCACATTTATATTCCAAATTATTATCAATAACAAGTATTCAAATTTTTAGAAAATTTTTATTATTATGAAAATATAATTTTTCCGGAAAAATCTACTGAATTATTTTATTGCAATTAGATTTAATATTTTATTGTTAAATTTTCTTATATATATTTGTAAAAATGTTACAGAAATAAAATTTTGTTTGCATTAGTGACATGCAATGTTTTTCAATCGAAGGTGAAGATATTTTTAAGATGATAAAACTTATTTGTGTGTGTGTGTGTGTGTGCAGCTATCAAATGATAACTCTCGCGTCTCGATTCTTTTACTAAAATAATATCAAGTCAAATAAAGTTCGACGTACGTTTGATCAAAGATAAAAATTTAATTCAAGAAAAACATACACTCGACTGTTGATTTGGTTTATAAAGTAAATAATTTTTGTAATCCGTTTACATAAAGATTTTATGCTACCTATTTCAAAATTCATGAAATCATATTTTTCTGCGACTTATATTCTATATGTTGTATGTTTGAGAGAAAATTTCTTGGTAATGAACTAGGAAGGAGGATCGTTACAAAAGGAAAATAGGAAGAAAAATAAATGTAGAAAAGATGAAAATTTGTGTTTATTAGTTTTTTCTTTGAGTTATGGAATTTAATATGGGATGCGCCTCTAGTTTTTTCTTTTTTGGACTATCTTTTGGCTACTGTAGGATTTATTTTATTCACCTGATTTGACGCGAAGGTTATCTGGGAATACAAGAGGTTCATCTTCGCAGAAATGTTATTTTTACTTGTTAATGTTATTTTACTGTTTCTAATTATTTTCGTTAAAGAAGAAAAGAGATGCACCTAAGCTAATTTTTTAGGAATAAATTCATTCCTAAAAGTTCCTAAGAATATTTTTTCTATGGATGAAAAATGTTGATGTCTAGGATATAGTTATCTCTCTTTCTCTGGGAGGCACCTGTAAATAATTATAACATAAAAGCTTGTTCTTCTAGTTAAAGAGACGCATCTGGATTGAACTGAAAATTATCTGGAGATACTAGAGGTTCATCTGCGCAGAAATTTGTTACTTTTACTCTAATTCACTTGCAAAATATAAATTAAAAATACCCTATCTTCCTTCTGGTAGAAAAAAACAGTAAAATGTAACAATTTGATTACATGGAACACCTCACCAAATATAAAATATATAATCGAATCTAAAGAGGTTCTCCTCTTAATGTTGCATTTATTTCCTCTCCCCTAGGTAGCAAACAATAAAAATATTCAGGAGGCACCTCTCGATACATTAAACACACCTTCTTTTTCTACGGTTATGTGAGATGCACCTATACTAGTTTTTAAAAAACTCATTTGGCAATATGAAGGTTCATCTTTCTGAATCCACTTTTCCCCGTTCACACGGAGGCACCTGTCGATGATAAATTCAAAATATCTTCTTATTCGTTTTGTCAAAGAGACGCACCTGTAAATTTGGAATATTTTCATAAAAGGAAATAAATAAATATTATACTAAATAATAATATAATAAACAATATTATAATAAATTTTAAATAATCTAGGTATATTTCTTGAAAATAAATCCACTTTTTTTAAGTTATACATTTATTTATTTCTTTCAAAGAACAAAAAATATTTTTCAATAATTTAACAATACATTATACTTTCTGTAAATAAAAAAACAATATTGAAATTCTCATAACGTTTGAAAGCTATCTTCTACACAATTATAAATTTCCCTATCTTTTAATTCGATTGTTTAATTTTTTTTATATTTTTATTCATTTTTCTACAAAAAAATTTACAGTACAAGAAATTATGTAATTAAAAATAAAATTTAATAGTCTTAAAAAAATTTACATTTTCTAATTGTAAGTATAATTTTTTTCAACACTTATAACGTAATATTTCTCTGTTTAGGACTAGCTTCAAAAAAAAAAATTAACAAAACTTATGATTTGTAATTTTTTGAAATGGAATGAATTTTTTTGCATTTTCTAAAAAAAATAAAAAATTCGAGACTCTTGAAAATTAGAACCACTGATTGAAAACACTTTTAAGTATTTCCATTTTGAAAGCGCCTGGGTAAGTCTTGGTGTGTTTTTTTCTTTTTTATTTCTTGGCGGATAGGAGGATTGAATATCGTAATGGACGTCATGGTCGCTCAGTTCATTGATACGGAAAATAGACTTATGTCCCTGTTTGAGGATCAGCGGCAGGTACGATGGGGCAATTTGTTCTCTTAGAGAACGTCCCTCAATTTATCAACGATAGTGGCAAATTTTGGCTGGTAATTTTTCCTCGCGCGTTAAAACTTGTCAAGTAATTAGATCAATATTTAATTCTTTCATGTACGTCGCTAATTCAGTTCCTGTGAATTCCGTCTCATCGTAGTCCTGAAGACTCGAATTGCTTATCGTATTACCACTGTCGATACTTGGATGACTGTTAATTTTTGGCGGTGCACTCGCAATCTCGGGTTTAATCTTTGGCTTTTTCGTTGGTCTCGTTTGACTTCCAAATAGACCTTTTGTTCCAAATTTTAAACGTCCGGACAGAATTCCTAAAAATCAAATTTTAATTCATAATTCAAAATAGCAAAAGAAACTTGCAAAAAATTTGCTCTCTTAAATTGAATTAACTGACTTTTTGCTTTTGAATTAGTAAATTTTACTAATTATAGTAATTTCTACTAATTTATAAGTAAAATTTACTAAATAAATTATCAACTTTCTAAATAAATTGTAAATTTACTAAATAAATTATAAATTTACTTATAAATTAGTAGAAATTATTGTATATTAGTAAAATTTACTAATTCAAAAGCAAAAAGTCAGTTACTAAAACAGATTAGTAAATATTTTTACGAATTCAAATTCAAATTCAATATTTTTATTTTCATTTTTACTTTGATAGATTTTTTTCCTTCAATTCCCACTGTCACATTTTTATTTTCACTTTCACTTTCAAGGAAAGTGAAAATATAAATCTGACAAAGTGAAAATTAAAGTGAAAATAAAGATAAAATTACGTAATTTTATTTTCATTTTCACTTTCACTTTGACAGATTTTTACTTTTACTTTTATTTTGATAGAATATTAAATTTACTTTCATTTCTACTTTCACTTTCGACCCCCTGGGGGTCGATTACGTAATTTTGTTTTTACTTTCACTTTCATTCTTACTTTCATTATCATTGTCATATTTTCACTTTCACTTAGATAGATTTTTACTTTTATTTTTATTTTGATAGAATATTAAATTTACTTTCATTTCTACTGTCACTTTAATACATTTTTTTTCCTCTTATTTTTATCTTTATTTTTACTTTAATTTTCACTTTGTCAGATTTTTATTTTCACTTTCATAGATTTCTACTTTTCTTTTCATTTTCATATAGAATATTAAATTTACTTTTATTTCTACTTTCACTTTGATAAATTTTTTTTTTTTATTTTTATTTTCACTTAAAATATTATTTTTACTTTCATTTCTACTTTCACTTTGATAATTTTTTTTTCATTTTATATTCATTTTCACTTTGGTAGATTTTTACTTTCATTTTTATTTTCATAGAATTTTATTTTTACTAGCATTTTTACTTTCACTTTGTCAAATTATTTTTTATTTTATTTTCATTTTGATTTTCTCTTTAATAAAATTTTATTTTTACTTTCATTTCTACTTTCACTTTGATAACTTTTTTCATTTTATTTTCATTTTCACTTTGGTAGAATTTTATATAATAATAATTACGTAATTTTATTTTTACTAAGACTGATGAATTTCTTTTACTAGGTACTTTCATTTTCACATTGAGAAATTTCCATTTGCACCTTGATAATTTTTTTAGACTCATTTTCTTTTTGAAAATAAAAATAAAATTTAATTGAAAGTGAAGATTTATCACGGTGGAAGTAAACGTAAATAAAAATACACCTCAAAGTAAAAATGAAAGCAAAAGTGAAATAAAAATTCTGTCAAGTAAAAATGAAAATAAAATTCTGTCAAAGTAAAAGTGAAAATGATAATAAAAATTCATCAAAGTGAAAGTAGATGTGAAAATAAAACACTCAAAGTGAAAGCAAAAATGAAAGTTAAAATAAAATTTCATAATCGGCCCCCTAAAAATAGGATATTAATCTGTTAAACCGAATTGAAAGTTAAAAAATCTATCAGGGTGAAAGCAAAAAAAAGTCTAACAAAGTAAAAATGAAATTGAAAATAAAAGTTTGTCAACTTGAGAGTGAAAATGAAATAGAAAATAAAAATTCATCAAAGTAAATGAAAAAGTGAAAACAAAGTTTAAAAAAAATAAAAATCTGTCAAAGTGAAAATAAAAGTGAAAATGAAAAAAGAAAATAAAAGAGATAATAAAAATCTGAGAAAGTGATAATAAAAGTGAAAATGAAAAATTGTCATAGTGAGAGTGAAAGTGAAAATAAGATGAAAATAATAAACTGTCAAAGTTAAAGTGAAAATTTATCTATTGAATGTAAAAGTAAAAATGAAAGTAAGAATGAATGTGAAAGTGAAAATGGAATTACGTAACCGATTCTATGGAATAAGAATAAGAATATTTTTCAAAGAAATAACTCACCTAGTGTAACCGTTTGCAGTGGTCGATGATGAACTCTTAAACTAGATTCATCGATAAAGAGAGTTTCTGAATTATTATTTCCCTCGTTGATACCTTTTCCAATCGTTGTCATCACTGTGACTTGACTTGAATTTGATGCCCTGGAACCATTTCTCACAATTTCTGGATGACTACCGTTTGTCTTTGATATTACAATTAGTTGAGAATTTTTTCTCTCAATTCCACTCTGGTATTTTGTGGAATTCCTCCGTTGATCAAAATTCGATAATTGCTGTTGATTTTCCTCGCTGGATAAAACTGAACCTGACTTACGGGAGTCAACACGATGAAAGGTCGATCTTGGATGTCGTGAAAGACTTGTGTAAGTTCGTTGCAAAGGACTTGAAGTTTGTAGTCTATTTCCGCAGTGTTTTGCCAGCATTGACTAAAAATAATAATTATTAACTTTTATTTCTTGTTCATTTTTTTATTTATTTGTTTTACTTAATTTATTATTAATTTATTCATTCTTATCTGTTTACTTGTAACCGGCAGAATAAAAACATTTTAATAGAGAAAAATCCGTCAGTTAATCACAGGTGCACCTACTCTACTATTATTGTTTTTAAAGATCTTTCCATAATTTCTAATTTAATAATTTATTTTTCTAATTTTGCTCCAAAAACTGTCTCAAAGCTTTTTGCAAAAAAAAATTAAAAAGCTGTTTAGTAGAGGTTAACTTGCCGGTTAGAAGCAGGTGCACCTCTCCTACTTTTAGATATTATTAGTTTTAAATTGTCTTTCACAATTTCCAAACTCAATCACAAACTTCTAAAATTCTCTCTCGAAGTTTTCTGTCCAAAAAAATCAACTTTCTTCAGAATAAGAGTTAAACAAAAATTTAGGTACTATATGTGATAAAAAATGTTCATAATTCATAAAAATCATATTAAGCTCTTGTTTTCTCTTTTTTTTCCGTTGAGCAAAACTTTTTATCCCTGATATATGAAAGTTGAATTCGATTCATCGTGAAGAGAGAAAATTTCGAAATCTTATAGTAAATGAAATTTCTTTGTAGCTTTGATATATATGACATTCTTCATTCATTCAATAATAATATTTTTTTTATTGTCTCACCTTGAAAGCTTCACGAAACTTATTGGACATAATATTGTAAAGTAGAGGATTAATGGTGGTTGATAGATAGTAAAAAATTCCCGATGTATAGGTAAGTATTTTATAAACGGTAATTAACATAGGATGAGGATCTTTTTCTTCCTTTCCATAAACAGCGATTAGTCTCTGTGCATGAAATGGTGCCCAGCAAATGAAGAAAGCCACAACAACAGCAACTGAAATAAAAGAGAGAACTTTACTTATAAATATATTGCTATCTTCCGAAAAGAGGTTTTTGATACTTTTTGTTTGTTTCTTCCTTTTTCTATATCGTTAAAATTCAGTTATTAATTCCATTTCTTATTTTAATAAAACTGAAATTTCGAAAAATACTCTTTTTACAACTTTATTTACGATTCTGATGAATTGAATATTAAATTATTAAAATTAATGTGTTTTTAATAGAAATGAGTATGAATGGAATCTTACTTTGAATGTATTAAAATTTATAATTCAATAAGAGCTCTCATTTTTTCTTGAAACTTTTTGAAATTACTATTAAATTAAATTTACTCGAGTTCTTTCCATTTTCTTTGGAAAATGTAGTTTTCTCATTTTGCTTTTTTAATCATTTTATTAAAATTTATAAATGCAATTGAATGTTAAATGGAAAAAAATGCAATATTTATGTTGGAGAGAAAAATTAGTTTTTTTGCTTTTAATACTAAAGGAAATTTTAATTTAATTGGAAGGTAATAAGAGAATTAACGACCTCTACTCTATTAAATATTTTTGAATTTCATTTGAATTAAATAAATTATAAAAGCTTACTAAAAAGCCATAATTTAAATTTAATTATATTTAAAGTACATTTAATTTATTATAATTTAAATAATATTTAATTTAATTACATTTAATTAAATTCAAATTGTAATTGGTTTAATTCAATTTTCATTTAATTGTAATCAGTTTAATTTTAATATAACTAAATTGCATTGTATTTATGTAAATTTTAATTTAATGTTAACTTATTTAAGGTGTTGTTAATTCAATTAAATTCTATTTTAATTTTATCTTTATTTAAATTGCAGTCAATTGAATTTCATTTAATTTAAATAATAAAAGAGTAGGTAGCAAGTAAAAGGCTGAGAGAAGCGGTCCCCACCGAACGTAGAGTAAAAGGGAGGGGATATATTTCCGCGTGGTGGGGGGCCGCTTCTCCTGCTACCTGCTTATTACGTACTTCTTTAAAAAGAAAGGTACGAATTTGGTACCAATTTTGGTACTAAATCGTAATTTGTTTTAATTTCAATTCCTAAATCAGCTCTAATTTAAAACCTTTTTTTAACAGTGTAAATCTGATTATTATGCTTTTTTAGACTATATCTGATATTATAAAATAAATTAATTAAATTCAACAACAGCTTAGACAAAATTAAAAATTCTCAGCTAAGAAAAAAAAAATTTTTTTTGTAAAAAAAGATATTTTTTTCAGAAAGAAAATATATTCCTTTTGAAGTTGAAAAATTTTAATTTGATATGTAGCTTAAAATCTTTCTATTATAATTCTAATCTATGTAAAACTTTAAAAATTAAAAATAGCAGATATATGATTGATGACATTAATTATGATAATTATATGATAATAATAATCTCTAATAAATAAGAAATATGTCATAAATAATTAAAAAAGTCAATAAAATAATGGACGCATTTTTTTCTCCTTCTTTAAGTCGAGCGATAACATTTACCTTCATTAACTTTACGAAGTCGCTTTTATTACGCTTTACCAAGGAAATGAACTTTTATTGCTTACTTTTCTATAGGCAGCAATGGTTTCTTTCTTGCTTTTTAAGAAAAACATTAAACGAAAATAAAAACTCAAACTGGAATAAATTTTTGAATAGGTACAATTAATAATTTTTTTTTCCTCTATAGAAACAAGTTGAGAAATAAAATTCTGTTTTGTTTAAAAGCAGTACATTAAATGAGCTCATTTATCAAATTCATTCCTTTTTCTCCAAATACTCTTTTTAATTTATTTACTTTTTTAACTTTAACTTTTTTTATTTATTTAAAAATTTTTTTAATTTGACGTATTTATCATGAAGACAAATTTCGAATTATTTGTAAATTTATTGTAATCAAATTCTAGGAGAGGAGCAAAAAAATTTTTAATTTAATTGAAGAGTGTGAAGTTATGAATAATTTAAAAATGTCAAAAATGTCCGAACCAAAATGGCAGATGATTTTTTGTCTAAAGAAATTACGGTTTCAAAATTTCAAGAAGGTAGGGAATAAATTTCTTTATTGATGAATACTAACCACAAACGTTATACAAACTTTACACAGCAGATAAATTTTTTTTGCAAGTTTATTCAACTTGTTAATTCAGAAGTTTAGGGAAAAAATGTACAGTTATTCTTCTTGTCATCCATGACATTGAGACTCGTGGCAATGAATAAAAAAAAAAAAAAAGTTTTCAACTATTTATGAGAAAACTTGTCTCTGTCGAAAAAAAATTATTTACTGCGCATCATATCAAAAATTATTATATTTGCCTCGTAATTCACACAATCGCGTAATTATATGATGATCAAAAAATGAAGATAGAAATATAAACTGAATTATTACTTCTTTAATCCTACACTTTAAAAATACAATTCTCCATTTATTTATATGCCTATGAATCTCACTTTTTAATCTTAATAAATTCCTTTGTGTGAAGAAAAAAATTTTTTCTTTAAATCATATTTAATTTGTTATGAGTGGTCGTGCTTTCAAATGCATTGATCTTTTTATAGAAAAAAGAATTCTGTTTTTAGATATATAATACATTTTACCGAAACAACTCTCCTTTGGCGCATGTTTATAAATACATTGGGTTTGCAGAGCCAAAGTTTTTTTTCTATAATAATGACACACGTATTTGATGATTTCTTTGTTATTTTTGTTCAATTTTGAGCCTGTCACATCTTCGGGACGTATTTATAAATAAATAATAACTTTAGAGAGCAAAATGTTCTGCATTCGATTCATATTTGTTCGAATTTTAGCAAATTTTAGCACTAGAAGAAAAATCCTAAATGAGGTCGAAGAAATTCGTAAACGTATTATATTAGTTTAAAAAAATGGTTTATTATTTCGAATGTAGAATTATCAAAAAATAGTTTTGGAAAAAATAAAACAATGTACCCACCTCTCATAGTATTTTTGAAACAAGTAAATTCAAAGCAGTAAAGTTCGTTCTAGAGTCTTTATGTAGATGCATCTTTTACAGAATTTGGTCGAAATAATCCAAAATCAAAGAAGACAGTGGTAAAAAATACTATGACAGGTGCTTTCATTACTTTGTAGCAATGGACGCACTTCTGGTAGTATTTTTGAATCTAGCAAATCTAAATCAGTAGAGTAGATTCTTCGTTCTAAAGAGTTTACTTAAATAATCTCTTTCAGAATTTGGCCCAAATAATCCGGAATTACTTGAGACAATGGTATAATGTAATGGAAGCACCTGTCACAGTATTTTTGAATCTATCAAATCTTAAGCAGTAGTGTAGTTTAAGTTAGTTTTTGAGACTTTATGTAGATGCTTCTCTAATAGAATTTGGACGACATATTCCAAAATCAATTAAGACAGTGGTATAAAGTAATGGATGCACCTATCATAGTAAATTTGAATGCAGCAAATCTAAAGGAGTACATTAGGTAAAGTTCGTTCTAGAGTCTTTACTTAAATGCATCTTAGAGAATTTGGACTAAATAATCCAGAATTACTTAAGACAATGGTATAAAGTAATGGACGCACCTCTCATAGTATTTTTGAATCTAAAAAATCTAAAGTAGTAAAGTAATTAAATTTCGTTCTAGAGGCTTTATGTAGATGCTTCTCTGAAAGAATTCGGTCGAAATTCAACAGAATTACTTAAGATAATCGTATAAAATAATGGACTTGGACGCACCTCTCTTAGTAAATTTGATTCGAGCAAATAAAAAGCAGCAAAGTAGGTAAAGTTCATTTTAGGGATTTTGTAGAGGTGTTTCTCTTCCAAAAATTACAATATTATTATTTTTTTGGGAAAAATTTTGCAATACCATTTCTAAATTAAGTAAAGAGAAATTCTGCACGCTTTCCACATCAACCACACTGTCTCTAAGAAGACAGCTGAGATTCTAATTTATTATTTACTTTTCCAAATTTAGAGCAGTTTCTCAATCTTTCTCCTTCCGAATAAAGAACCCTAATTTCCACTAGAATCATTGTAAATAACACAAAATCTGTCTGTTCAACATGAATTTATTCAGAGTCAAATACCGTTTACCAAAATTAAAAGATCGTAAAATTTTAAGTGTCCATAAATTCTGTAAGGATTAAGTACCCTAAGTTTTTTTACCAAATTATCCAAATTCACTTGTTCTAAATTTTTTCAAACCTTGACATTTTTTTTTCTAAATCAAAAAAAAGACTCTGAATTTTTTTACAAAAAAAATTCTAGAATTTTCTTCTTGCAAAAAAAATAATTTATAAATAATTAAAAATTCGCAGAATCTATTAGAAATCGAAATCAAATTGTTTCATTCTGGTTCATTTCTCAATAATCGGAAACAATATAGTATGGTACTTTATCTTTATAAGAAAGTTGGTTAAAAATGCAAATTGGACTCACCCAGGGACGGTAACGATTTATTTAAAAGCTAAAGCTGTGATATTTCTCAAACAATTTATTGTTGCGGGCAATCAAACTGTCACACGGGAATACACACTGTTTTTGTCGAAATTTATCTTTTGATAGAATGCACATATTAAAAAAGCAACATTTTTTTTACGTTTGAATGTACATATACCTGGCGTAACAATATTTTACTGATGCAAAAGATCATTAAAAGCGTTTCGCATTCTCCACTCATTTTATTATTTTTTTTTCTTTTGTAAGTAATCGAGTAAGTGTAATTGGATGACTCAATGTAGTAAACTAACATATTTTCGAAAAAGAATTTCAAGAGATAGCATCTTTTCCAATTTGCATAAATTAATTGATGACCTTTGTATCAACATATCCATATTATTTCAATAAAGCGAAACAGTTTAAATGCAATGCACAAAAATGGAATTTGAGCAAATTTTCTCAATAGCATTTCTTATATTTTGATTCAATATTTTCTGAAATTAAAATAAAAATATTGTAAAGAATTTGAATATATGATTTGATAATTTGATATTTAAATAATTCTCCAC